TGGGATAATTGGGATGGGAGTGTCAGAGACAGTGCGAATGGCACAGGACAGAGCGGAGTTTAGGGCTGTTGTACATAGGGTCGCTATGAGTCGCAGGTGACTCGACGGCACATAACAACAAAACAACAACAACTCCTATTTCTAAGCGCCACAAATTCTAGTTGGTATTCTCAAAATAACTTTTTATATTCTTAAAGTAGTAAGGAGAAAAAAGACCAACCAAATGGCAGCAAAAAAAAAAAAAAATCATCCCTGTGTTTGTTATGGGAGGTTTTGCCCCCTCCCTAGGAAATACTCACAAACTGAGTTCTACACCCTTACTCAGTGGGTCTTCAACATTCAGGGACAAAGATTTTGTTTTTTGCTGGTGTTTAGAAATCTAACTAAAGTGCCAAACCAGACCACAAACATACTATAAGATAGTATGACACAGAATGCAGAATTACAAGACCTAAATACTGTCAGGGTCCTGTCTCTAAGTTCCAACAAGTCACATAACCTCTTCATGCCTCTTTTTCCTTATAGATACAATGAAAAGGATGAGTTACATATACCTTTCTAAAATGAGAACAGAAGGATGAGTATACACAGAAGAATGTATACATAAAAGTTAGATTATATCCCCTTAACACCTCCCTCCGGCGTGTGTCTCTTATCTCAGTCAAAAATTGTTTTTCCAGCTATCATTACTGAAAATAGAATTTTAAATTCTCACAGAATGCACACTTTAAGGAGTCATAGTTATTGTGAGGCGCTGTCAAGTCAGCTATGACTCACAGGGACTCTATGTATATAGCTCTCCAGCACCTCCAAGAAGTCATGGGGGATGGATGAAACCTTGAAGCTACTGCCTTGAGATAACTTTAAATAATATCCTCTAAAGTGTTATAAAGCTCTGGATATTGAGTTAAGTTGAAAAGAGCAACTTGAGATTAGATAGGAAACTTAAAGAGTGGTTAAGCTAATATAATGGAGAAGAAACAATCTGGAAAAGGAGGGTGAGAAATGTTATACAACTTGAAGAACATAATCAATGCCACTGAATTGTACATGCATAAATTGTGGAATCAGTTATGTCTTGCTGGGAACAATTCTCAGTAGTAGCACAGAAAATAAAGACCAAGAAAAAGAAAAAAGAAAAAAACCTAGGAGGAAAAAGGAAACCATGTTTTCGGCTGTGCTTGGATATGTTGAAACTGTTAACAGTCCTTTAAACTAGTTTCATGGGAGACCATGCGTGACTGGTGTACTATATACTCACACTCGAGGGACAGGTGTCATGGCATCTGAGCTGTCTTCATTTTCTTGCTGGAGAAAAAAGAAAAGCATTAAGATTAATGGACTAATGACTTTTCCTTTACTGAAAGCCTCTAGAAATCCAGAAAAAAACATTTGGTATTTCTTAAAAACTGTACCTTACAGAAAGTTTGGTCTTTGGTCTCCAGCCACAGCTGGAAAAGTGCAACTAATTCCTTTTCATTATCTTGGGATTGGCCTATAAAGGGGGAAAAAACACCACAAAACAGCAATAATAAAAGTGTTCTTCAAACTCAGCTGTTTACCTTACTTGATATATCTGTGCCACAGAATTAGCACAACCTGCAGCAATGATGCTATGCATGTATTCTCTCTCACAGTCAGAATATCAGCTAATTAAATTATTCCTTCAATGGGTGTACTAAAAGTAACTGTAGTGACAGAATTCTTAAATGGAAAGAAGTAAAAAAGATTTCAAATAAAAGTCAACTGTTTAATAAGACTTGGGAATAAAATATAAACTTACAGGGTAACCTTTAAGAAAATCAATAGACAGACAGTCTCATCAAAATAAAGAAAATCATACTGATTTGACAAACACTAAAGTAACAGCAAATAAAGAAATTATTAGAAAAGCCATAAGTAAAATGAACTCAGCATAGAAAAGATGGAATAAAAAAAAAACCAGCAGCACCATCAGAAATTACAGTAAAATGACAATAATATAAACAAATATATTTATAATTAACTTTGAATGTGAATTATAAAAATCACCAATCAAGAAAAAGTGGCAGAATGGATAAGAAAATATGACCCATCAAGTTACTGTCTATAAGAGATCACCTTAGACATCAGACACAAGGACAAAGACTAAAAATCAAAGGGTAAGAAAAATAAACCAAATGACAAAAATAAAAGGAGCAGGAATAACACAATTCTATTTTCTGAAAGAAAACATTTCAAGACAAATACACCAAAAAACCTCCAAAAGCAAACAAGTAAAAGACAAACACAAGCATAAAAGAAACGGCACTATATACCGTTCAAGGGTCAACTGAACAAGAGAACACAACTATGAAACTTATGCACCCAATGAGAGAGTCACAAAATATATACATCAAGCTTTAAAAGTCCTGAAGAGAGAAACGCACTCCAGACTGACAGAAACTTCCAAACACCACTTTTGAGGAAGAATAAAATGACAAGGAAGAAACTAAATAACACATCCAACTGAGACATCATAAACCTATACAGAACAGGACACTCAATAAAAAAGTCTCAAACTAAAAATAATCAAAATATTAGAAAGCATCTTCTCAGATCACAGTGCTACAAAATTAATATATGAAGAAGATGGAGCGGAAATCAAGTACATGGAAACCAAATAATATCTTCCTGGAATACCATGTGGTAATATGTTGTTGTTGTTGTTGTTATGTGCCGTCGAGTCGTTTGCGAATCATAGCGACCCTATGTACAACAGCCCTAAACCCTGCTCTATCCTGTGCCAATTGCATTGCCTCTGACACACCCATCCCGATTACCCCAGGGTCTTCCCCTCCTGCGCTGTCCCTCCACCCTACCAAGCATGATGTCCCTCTCCAAGGACCTGTCTCTCCTTACAACACGTCCAAAGTAGTGAGACGAAGTCCCAGAATCCTTGCCTCCAAGGAGTAGCCTGGTTTAACCCTCTCTAGGGTGAATCTGTTTGTTTTCTTGGCAGTCTATGGAACATTCAATACTCTTCTCCAGCACCACAGCTCAAAGGC